CACATATATATATATACATATATATATATATATATATACTGTATATATATATATAAACATATGCACACACACACACACATATATATATAATTTTACTTTTTACACACAAATTTCTTCTGGTTGTGTTCCATGAGTAAGGCATATTAAATGCCTTTAATTATGACTTTTTGCTAAATATTTAGTGAACAAAAAATTGTTGTGAAAATCAGACGCGAAAGCCAACATGACCATTCATATTCATGTTAACAAGAAATAATGTAGGGTTGAACATGACAAATTTGCACTACATACCAGACTGAAGGTGTTGAAACACAAGAGCGAAAAGTCAATTCAGAGAGAGAGCAAGTCCTTTTCAAACTTTTCTCCTTGAAATAACCAACAAATTGTTTCTAATAAGACTAGAAAAAGTGAAGGGGTCAATGTTGACTTTAAGACAGTTTGACACATTGAACAAACTGTACTTTTGTTCCACATAGCCTTGTTGTCATTCGCATCAAACCATGTGAAGAAGGAAAGAAAGCCTCTTACAGAAACACTGCAGTAGCTCTTTTTAAACAATGGTGACCTTTGGAAGTGGCTTGGGTTTCTCCCCACGGTTCACTGAGTTGCTGCGCCACGGTTCGCGCTCTCTCTGCAGCTCCTCGCCTTAGCTTTAGGGGAATTCCTTGGATCTAATTAGCCTCTGGGGTCCTTCTTCAGCAATGTGTACCAACCCCATCTCATGTCTTATTCAGCAGCCTGGCCACCACAAAACAAACTGGGTTACCCCACAACTCTCCTACGGATGTTCAAAGTTCAAATGTCACTCCGGCAGGTCAGCCGCCCTCCTGCTGCCGAGTTCGCACTCGTGTAATTACAGAAGCGCACATCCGAAGCCGGACTGATTGTTCGAGAGCCTTATTGCGAAGCCGTACCACTTGAAAGAGAATAAAAGAAATCGTGAACTCACTCTGAATTTGCATGAGGGCTCCGCGGGGGACCGGAGTGGGGACATTTAGTGGCCGATACACACGGCGTAGTGCGATTTGAGACCTAGGCATATTAATGCATCGCAGCAGAGTCCTGAACTCACACCCAAACACCGGGCTTCAAAGTCAAGGTCGGGAAAAAGCCTCCACAGACATTTTTCTCAGTAAGCGACAAAGACAGGTTAGAGTCTTCACAGGCCAGGCATCCAATCAGGTTACAAAGACCACTCTAGATCTTTGCTGTCAGGAGAGAGATAGAGAAAGAGAGCGAACAAACCAAACACCGCATCTGATTGTGGTCACGCGCCGTCGTCCCCCCCGGGAGGGAAGTGACAGGGGATTGACAGTGACTGAGTCCCTACATGAGGTTCATTACCTCACTCAGGAGCCGCTTGCGGTTTTGTATGCAACTTTTCAGAAGTAAGCCAGTTTGTGTGGGATTACATGTCAGGCTAATGGCTCTGCCCTGGGGTGCACGATGATTTGTCTCTGCTGCCACTGGACCAGCAAAAAATAAAAACAAATGAGCGGCCTCTCATCTATAATTAATCATTTTAATGGACCTAGAATCGCCAGTATCTTCACTCGTCTTTAAGCGTCTAGACTCAGATTACTGGTTTAAAATGCTGTTACTCCGAGGCCAGCGTAATGAACTTATTCCTCTGGAATATATCATAGTTTTAACAAAGGAAATAAAAAAAAACGATAATGATAATCAGGCAGAGTTGGGCTGCCTGGGAGCTAAGCTGACGCAATGCATTTGTGTCAGGGCCTCTATCGATTGCAAACATATCTAATGTGTCTTATTAAAGCTGATTAGCCCTGATTTCAGAATATCACACATTTATCTGACTCAGAGATTGACTTTGTTCTTGTCTACATTCACAGTATTGCAGAGGCGGTGCTTTTTCATGCTTTCTCATTCTCAGGGCCTTGCTTTCTTTTACTCTTTCTCTGCTCTAGTGCTATTCCAGTTAAAGTATGTACTGATTTGTCTGACTGTCCATCGGTTCATCCATCAATCTATCTATCCGCACTCGTGCAAAAAATACTTCAATTAGAAAGAGAAGCAAAAAGTGAACCACAGAACTTGCTTGTAATGTAACATAATGAACATCTATCTATCTATCTATCTATCTATCTATCTATCTATCATCTATCTATCTATCTATCTATCTATCTGTCTGTCGGTCTGTCTGTCTATCTATCTATCTATCTATCTATCTATCTATCTATCTATCTATCTATCTGTCTGTCGGTCTGTCTATTGTTCTGTCTCTCTGTCATTCTATCTATTGTTCGTCTGTCTCTTTTTATGGTAGGTCCTGGTAGGTGACACTGACCCAAAACAGTGAGCCGAGCAGGTCGAGATCTGGTCGCAGCCTGGATGGCTTGACACTCAAAGCTGCCATCGTCGGTCAGTTCGGTCCTCTGAATCAGTAGGTGATATTCGCCTTTGCTGTGGTCCCCAATCACATCATAGCGTGGATAACCTGAAACACAACATTTAAAATTAAACATAAAAAGCATATTAACATAAAAAGAGCTTCTGCTTTCCAAGCAGTAAAATTTCTGCCCTCAAGCCCTAAAGTTACCCCGAGCATATTTGTTATTAAAATATCCAGTTTAATTGCTATCTTTGTTGTTGCGGGTATTGTTGTGTTTTTCTCTTTGTGCTGTAGTATTGTTAAATTCTATGGAAGTGTCATGAATGGGTAAAATATTAGAAACATACAAAAAGGCCAATATTTCACTGCATAATAAAGGACAAGGCCTATTCAGAGTTGGCCTTGAATTATTTCCAGTCACATTTACTGTAGTTATGAAAAGAAAAACAAAAAATACTCTCTGTGGTATAACTGGAATTAAACCTCAAAACATAAACATGCATCTTGACTTCTGACAAAGTGATCACAGATCAAACTGCTACACAATACCATTTCATAAATATGCTTTATGCATATTTGAAAAGACTGATTACTAGTTAAGCATTAATTTAAAGAAAGTATTAGATTAAAAGTAAGAGCATATACTGAATGTTTATAGATTTAGCAAAAATGACTCTGTCCAAGGATCCACACTCCTTACCAGAGTATGGATGCTAAAATATCATCATCATTTTATATTATTTTTTAATCATTGATATCTAGAGAGTAGGGTTGTAGATATACTCACATACACTACCATTCAAAAGTTTGGGGACAGTAAGATTTGTATTTTTTTATTTTTTTAATTAACACTGTTATTAATCAAGGATGCTTTGAATAGATCAAAAATGATCAAGAATTTATATTCCAAATAAATTATGTTCTTTTAAACTTTCTATTCATCAAAAAATCCTGAAAAAATCTATTACAGTTTCCACAACAACAACAAAAAAATATTAAGTAGCACAACTGTTTTCAACATTGATGATAATAAAAAATGTTTCTTGAGCTGCAAATCAGCATATTAGAATGATTTCTGAAGGGTCACGTGACACTGAAGACTGTTGTAAATTCAGTGGTGGAAAAAAGCTGCAAGGCTGCTAGGTAAGAAAATGTCTGGGGAAGCATTCACAAACTGACAGAATGGGCTGTTGTCCTTGTATTATAGTGTCTAACTGGAGAAAAGACGAGACAAAGAAATGTCTAAGGCATTCAACGTCTCCGTAATGACACAAACAGATTTGGCAGAAACGCGCGGATGTTTTGAGCAGCCAATGTCTTGACTTTGGTTTCAGTCTGACTGTCTGACTGACTCTGAGAGTAACGCAATTTCAATTCTCTGTGTGTATGTGCTGTACATGTGGAAGAATAGACAATAAAGCAGACTTGACTTGACTTGACTTGACTAACTTACACTGCAAAGCAGAGCAAAGCAAACAAGCCTTTTACATATGAATGTCAATATTAATAATCATGGTGGAAATGAACTTGGTCATAAGCTAATTTTTAAATATAAAATTTAGTATGTACACATTTTGGTACTTTCATGGTGTTCACTGGGTTCACTGTATTAATATTTTACACACTTAAGATTTGTGTTGTGTAACCCACTGACTTTTGTGCTTCCCTTCCAACCTCATCATTTCTGAAGAATCATGTGACACTGACGCCTGTTGTAAATTCAGCTTTGCTATCACAGGAATCAATTATATTTTAAAATATACTAAAATAGAACATTTTTTTAAAAGTGATTTTAAATTGTAAGTTTGTAAGCATAATTGCCATTCAAAACCATTAAAAAATGCACTGACCCCAAACGTTTGAATGGCAATTATGATTTTTTTTTTGCAAAATGCAAAAAAAAAATAAAAATAATTGTGTCCTTCAAGGAAAAATCAGTCACTACAAAAGTGTAGAATATGGCATCTTCAATAAATGATGAATGGAGCCTTTGTAGCTTGAAAAAAAAATTGGAACAACAAAATTGCTACATGATGCTCTACTCAAGACAGATGTCTCATTTTTAGCTAATCTGCTCATATTAGAAAACAGATCGCAGCCCGGAGCACGTTTAAATCTGAACACGATCATGTAAACAGTTATCATGGCATGTCTCTGAAAACCTGATGATCCTTTATATTAAAGACTGTTTAGCTGCCCTGTGCTATCTGGTAATAAACCGTATTAGGAATCGATAGTGTCTATGAAAAGTAAATGTATATAAAATTGCTGAAATAAAAAGAATAAAAAATGTGGCCTTCAAGGTAAAATCAATCATTATAAAAGTGTAAAATATGGTATCTTCAATAAATGATGAACAGAGCCTTTGTAGCTTGAAAAAAATTGAAACAACAAAATTGCTACATGATGCTCTACTCAAGACAGATGTCTCATTTTTAGCTAATCTGCTCATATTAGAAAACAGATCGCAGCCCGGAGCACGTTTAAATCTGAACACGATCATGTAAACAGTTATCATGGCATGTCTCTGAAAACCTGGTGATCCTTTATATTAAAGACTGTTTAGCTGCCCTGTGCTATCTGGTAATAAGCCTGTATTAGGAATCGATAGTGTCATTACTGCCTTCAGGTTTCCTGCCACTGGATCTTCTTTTGCCTTTTATTTAAGAGCTGTATTCATTAGGGATTATTGAGGCATACAGGCGCCTCAATAAAGCTCTGATGAATTCCCCAATATGCTTGACTGGACGGCTTCAGACAATGGCTGTCAATTAGAAGAAACAATGTGAAATGACCCTATTAAAGGTAATGAATCCCATGAAATAGATTCGGCTTCATGTTGGATCAATAGCAGCTGCGATAGAGAGCTGGGACATGGATTTATCACACTGTGGGCATTTCACTGACACTCCAATGGATGGATGCCCGCTTGAAACTGGCTGAAAGGAGGCAGATCAAAGCTCGGAGCGAACGAACGTGAAAGCTGAAGGGGGAGAGATACACAGACGGGCATCCTAATCAAGCGTTATGTTAGCTTCAGTCTCGCAGACACAAAATCTGTAACTTCTCAAGCTTTGAGGACGCTCGCCCTGAAACGATATAGATATCTATGTCATACTGATCGCAGGATGTGTCATTTCATCAGTGTGAAACTGCAGGTGATAAAACATAAGATGGTTTTTACGAAAACCCGATAATGCCTTGTAAAAATACACAAATTGTTCAGGTTTGAAACTATCAATAGGCTTAGAGCTGCTCTGAACATACTGATATCCGTTTACATCAGCACTCTAGTTCATTTTACTCTTTAGCGAGCGACGTTTTCACTTCCTTTTTGAAGTGAGACTTTGTCCGATTGCCATTGTCGGTTACATATCACAGCTCCGTACTTGATTATACTGTGGTACAATGATATCCAAGACTCCCTGGACACTTATAAATGCTCAGAGAAAGAAAGACGCAGTGGAAAGGAAATTCAAGCCCTGAGAGGTTCAATTAAAGAGTGCCGTCCATGACTAAACGCTGCCTGGGGCCACGGCTAAAAATGTGTAACTTCTGGAGAAACCGCTGCCCAAAATGAAAATCCTTTCTTGGTAAAGTATAAAGTTTAAAATCACACATCACGAGAAAACTAAATGAGGCCTCAGCTAAAGGCTCAATCTTCAGATATTAATTGCTGGTTTCTTGAAGTGCATATGTGAATGCAATCAGCAACTATTGTTAGCGATAATGACTTCTTGATCCAGCAATTATGTGTAACGGTAGCTAAATAGGTTCTGATCGCTGTACTTTGAGTTAGATATGAGAATAAATTATTGAATTGTGCTTCGCTACACAAATATTTCAAAGAGCTAATAAGTTCAACTTCAAGCAAGCTGAAGCAAATTTGGAAGCGACATTCAACAAATTGAAGCTTAAGGGATGAATGTGCAATGAATTTGAATGAGACCAAAGTTTGTTTTGCATTTTGTCTTATAATCTGACAGTCCATTGCAAATAAAACAATCAGTAAATGTGGTGTAGTGAAGAAAGCGAGTCCGGTAATCATATCTGATTTGTTTGTGATTTACAAAATAATCTGTACTGATTTTGCAAACCTAAACCTAAACCTAAAGGTTGTCCTTGCATAAGTGAGAAGTTTTCTGAGAACATTTCAATCCGTTCACAGAAATTAATTTGTAAACCTTGTCATGTGAATGTAAAACAGATGCACTTGCAGCGCGTCTCTCTGGGGTTCTGTGGATGATGAAGTGTTTGCCTTAATTAATGAAAGAAATGCAATTAATTCTCGATTGTTGCTTTGCTTTGCTCAGTCTGACAGTACTTTTAATAGGCACTTTCTGAAACAAACAGAAAAACCTTCACAACAATCAGGAAAAGTTAGTGGTGGAAAAAAGCTGCAAGGCTGCGAGGTAAGCAAATGTCAGGGGAAACATTCACAAGCTGACAGAATGGGCTGTTGTCCTTGTATTATAGTGTCTAACTGGAGAAAAGACGAGACAAAGAAATGTCTAAGGCATTTAACATCTCCGTAATGACACAAACAGATCTGGCAGAGACGCACGGATGTTGTGAGCAGCCAGTGTCTTGACTTTGGTTTCAGTCTGACTGTAACTTACACTGCAAAGCAGAACAAAGCAAACAAGCCTTTTACATATGAATGTTAATATTAAAAATCATGGTGGAAATTAACTTGGTCATAAGCTAATTTTTAAATATAAAATTTAGCATGTACAAATTTAGGTACTTTCATGGTGTTCACTGAGTTCACTGTATTAATATTTTACACACTTAAGATTAGGGATGGGCATCGTTTACGTTTTATCAATACCGATACTGATACCGATACTGTTTATCAAAACCGGTACTTATCGATACTATTTGGTGCAAAAAGATATGAAGCGAAAAGTTGTTGAAAATTTGAAAAAGTTATTTTATTACTGCTGAACTTTAGCAACTGTATTAAAGTTATTCAATCAAGAGCAGCGAGTTATTTTTCTCTTTGTGTTTTATTTTATTAACATTAAAGGAATAGTTCACCCAAAAATGAAAATTGTGTCATCATTTACTCACTCTCAAGTTGTTTTAAACCTGAATGAGTTTCTTTCTTCTGTTGAACATAAAAAGTTATATTGAAGAATGTGGGAAATTAAACAGTTGCTGGTCTCCAGTGACTTTCATATTTTTTTTCCTACTATTAAAGTCAGTGGGGACCAGCAATTGTTTGGTTACCGTCATTTTTCAAAATATCTTTATCTTTGTTCAGCAAAAGAAAGAAATTCATATAGGTTTGTTGTATTTTGTTAGTAAATGTTTCATTATATTACTAGTGTTGCCTCCTTTGTTCACTATTACACTACTGCATATATTGCATCTGACACTGGTGTCGCCTAGTTTTGTAACGTGAGCCCACCCTTTCAAACGTTTCACTCTTGCCGCCATAACTGATTGCACGCAAACACACCGCACATGTACATGGACATCACACGCACGTCGAGCAAACGTCGGCCACATTATTCAGTGAAGGGAAATGACAAGCAACAGCTTCTAATTCGTCGTTAACATTTAAGTATAAAGAGATAAAACAACGCAAGTATCGATAACAGTATCGTTTGTTCTGAAGCTTATCGGTATTCCGGTATTGACCCAATTACGTACCGGTCCAAAAAAATACCGGTTCTCGGTACCCATCCCTACTTAAGATGAGTGTTGTGTAACCCACTGACTTTTGTGCTTCCTTTCCAACCTCATAGTTGTTCCAGTCAAATAAAAGGTAAATTCTTCCATCTCTGAGTAATTCTAATAATTTGAAAAGAAACATCAGGTTACTGATAGCGAGTATAACCAGTATCACAGCATACCGTGGCATATCAGATTTTATTCAATTATTTTTCTCCCCATGATTATCATCTCATTATTTTGTGTTTTTATATGGGAAGCCAAAACAATCCAAATGTGTGAAAAAAAAAACAACCTCTGACTAGCATGGCGGCAACCAGGTTGTAATGTGCAACGCTGGCCATAAACATGCATGACCCAAGGTTAAGAGTGGCAAACTACTACTCTACTAATCGTTACAGGAAGTCAAACATCTAAGATGGATATAGGCGCTGATCTGGTGTGTCAAACCTAATGAGATGTTTTTTTTTTTTTTAAAGAGAGTCAAAAGAACGGTTGCTAAAGTGCATGCAGAACAAATGAAAAAAATATGTTTATATGACTAAATTAGTAAGAATAAAATAAATTATTACTTTGATTCAGCAAAGATGCATTAAATTGATCAAACTGGACTAATGATGCTGAAAATTCAGCTTTAACATCACGGGAATAAATTACATTTTAAAGTATACTAAATTTAGAAACTGTTATTTCAAAATGTAATAATATTTCACAATTCTACCCCCTTTCACTGTATTTTTGATCACATAAATGCAGGCCAATATTATTTTAGTATCACTGAGACACTATTATAGTTTTTATTAATATTTTGAATTACTGTAGTTTTTTTATTTTTTTATTTTGTTTTTAGTCAATTTGCTGAGTTTTTTTTTTTTTTTTTTATGGTTATAGTTTTAGTTAACTATAATAACCCTGATGCAGGCTTGGTAAGAATAAAAGAGACTTCTTTCAAAAAAAAATAAAATTGTAGAGACCCCAAACTTTTGAATGGTAGTGCAAATGAATTATTAAAACAAAGTTTTCTATCTTACTCCTTTACAGACATTGTTTCATATCAAGTTCTAAATACAGCAATTCGAGTCATCTCTTGGAAAATATGAAGGCCAAGTACTACAATGATAAGTGTGAGAAGAGAAAATATTTTATAACTGTTTAAATCTAGACTTGATAAGCATTGACTGTACTTTCTTATACTTTGTAAACATAAATTGCAATTATGTAATTATATTAAATTATAAATCAACTGCAATTATGTAATCAACCAACTTTGCACATGTGGTCAATCGTATATGCAAGCAACTGATAAACAGCAATTAGCCATGATTAGCCATGAGAGGCTGAGATATTTCACCACAGGTTAGGATACGAAACAGACTGCAGCAAAAGCTCTTACCTGACATGTCTCGGTTGACCCCCAGAGCCAGACCGTCTTTGACCCACAGCACCATGCCATGGTATCCAGTAATGGAGCACGGCAGGGTCACGGGCTGCCCGGCCACGACCACCAGATCATGGGGCTGCTGGATAAACACAACAGAGCTTCCTAAAACAGAAAGGAGAGAGAGAAAGAATGAACAAGGGAGGTCACAATTATAAATCATCAAATACAATTTGTCAGAGCTGGCTGCCCCTGCCAGAGGATTTACAAAAAAACTTTTACTTGAGGATTACTATTATGGCTCTAGTAAATCTAGTCCAACTCCCAAAACCCACTTTGAAGAATAAATCTATAAATTTCAACTTTATGTCACTGGAATCCTTAATAAAGTGCAGTGACACACAGAAGTACGAGTAGGTGCCTCACAGTTAGGAAAGCTGAACATGACACTGCTGAGATCCACAAGACTGCAGCATCTGCAGCATAAATCAGCTCGCGGCTCGCAGCCGAAGCTCCTCAAACTCTGCTTTCACTCACGGAAACTCAGCTTAGCAGGCAAAATAACTTTCCCAACGACAAACTGCATCAGTGCCAGATGACAGGCTCAGTGGTGCTCTGGAACGGCCGTTCACAGACTGCTGTTCACCTTGAAGTCTAATAGAATGAGGTGCAAATGAAAAAGTGCCCTGAAGGTAAGCGGGCTTCAATACGGGAGGTGAAAAGTATGTCTTACCTTTCTCATTAAATTGCAGAGTGAGACAGACTGAGTTATTTTTTTTCCGTTCCGGGAAGCAGATAAGAGCATCAGTAGAAAGGGAATATGTATTTCTCTGAGAATATATTCACAGAAGATTCTCAGAGAAATAAACATCTCGTCCTTTCAACAGTCGCTTTCCCTCACCTTTTTTGGTCTTTTAATGTGAAAACAGTCGACACACCAGAGAAACTGAGGAGCCTCGTGCATCTCCTGAGACCACTTTGGTCGATTTTTGTCTTAAATTCAATAAAGTGCAGCTCTGCGAGGTGCATCTTTCATAAATAGCGCTTGGCCTTCCACTGATGTGGCAGGATTTCTGCGGGATGGTGCTGTAACACAGCTGAGATGCCAAGCATATTTGTCTCTATGTACACTGCCGTCTAATTTTGCTGTTTGAAGTTAACACCAATACTCACACTTGATCTTAGTTCTGTTAAAGAATAAAAAATCATTAAAGCTTAGCTTTAAAACGTACTTCTTTTGTTCGCCTACCCATGTTGAAGAAGGGTGTTTATAGCATAACCCACAGGATTTCTGCTCCTTTATAGCACAAGAGACTTAATGGAGCTCTCAGTTATGTGTCATTTGATTTTCACCTTTGTTTCAGAGGTTTAGCCTGAAATTTCTTGGGAGAGATAAAAATAGACACAGCCAAGACACTTATTGTCACACATAGAGCTTCAAAATAAAGGTGGATAGCACAGTATTTCATGGAAAATGTTCTTAATGAAATGTGATTTTGGTTATAAAACAATTGATTTTGGTGATTGTAGTTTGGGGTCAGAATTTTATTATTTTAAATTTTTTTTAAGAAATTAATACATGGATGCATTAAATTGATCAAAAGTGACTAAAGACAATTATAATGTTACAAACGATTACAAATAAATGCTGTTCTTTTGAAATTTCTATTCAGCAAAGAATTATAAAGAATCAGCACAGCTGTTTTCAAAGATGATGATAATAAGAAATGTTTCTTGAGCACCATATCAGCATATTAGAATGATTTCTGAAGGATCATGAAGACTGGAGTAATGATGCTGAAAATTTAGCTTTGACATCACAGGAATAAATTACATTTTAAGAATATATTATAAAAAAAACTATTTTAAAACTATTTTAAAGTGCAGTAATATTTCACAATATTTTGTGAATTCACATATTCACAATATATACTCACTATAGTTTGTAAGGGAAACCAATTTGCTTGTTGTATTCCACTAGTTGAGAACTCATCCTTGAAAGTTTTACACTCATGGTGTTCTTGATCTGTATAATCTCTCTACCATTAAACACAAAATGTAGATATTAGGCAGAATTTTTCATTTTTTGAAGTTTCAGAAATTAAAAAAAAAAAAGTCTTCTGAAGCCATATGATAGCTTTATATGAGAAACAGGCCAAAAATGCATCAAGAGTCATCATTCACAACTTATTTCCCTCAACCACAGCTGTGAAACCTCATTTGTGTTTATTCAAATCTGGCGTATGAAGACTGATCAAGTTTGAGCAAGTACAAAAGAGATATGAGAGCTCGTTTTTTTTAAACTGCTTTTATGGTGATATTTTGACAGAGCTCTACCACCTCTGTCCCATTCACTTTTACTGCATTGAAAAGAGCAGTGTAAACATTCTGCTAAAAATCACCTTCAGACCATAAATGTTTACAAATGATGGAGAGCAAGTAATGACCACATTTTTATGAGCTATTACGTCAATGAACGATGGGTTGGGAGCCAAAACAAGAACACAGCCTGCGATTCCCACACTACTTAGTGTTTTTGAGTGATCTTCAGAGTTGCCCTGGCACTACAAATACTTATGAAACTGACAGTGCACAATGATGAAATGTCACAGACAGTCCTCCAGCTACAAAGTAATAAATACATTCAAAGTTTAAGAAAACTCGCAAACTTCATTAAAAGTTTAGAGTAGAGATGAGTAGGAATATAAATATTGTGCATCTGTAATAACTTCTAGCATTTAGAACTGTTCCTCATGCCATCCTGTCTGAATATGTGAACGTTTTACAAAGATGTTGCCCAGACTCTCCCACATAGTGTATAGAAACTCACAACTAATGAACAGCACTGCCTTCAGAGCTTTTGTGTTGGACTCAGACTAATCACACCATTAAATGGGAATGTTTTAAAGAAGCTATAATGTAAAGGATATTTCTAAAGATGTGAGGTTGTTCACATTATACTTCAACTGCGTTTGAAAGACAAGTCTACATGCGTGTCAAAGGTCAGTCACTTTGAGCAAATGCAAGTAATTCAGTGCTTTTGTAATGTATAACCTTAATGTAACTGGACTTTTGACTGGCCGAATCTAAGGGCATTTTATGCACATTTTGACAAATCATCTTCTGCATACGACAAAGAGATGCAAAACTATAAATACACCTCAGCATCTCCATCCAAGGCATGTTTACGAGACCCAGCAGTTGTGTTTAATGAAAGCAGACCAATATCCACAGCAGGGGCTCTAGGATCCATGGACACCTCTAATAAGAGCCACAAATAGATAAATAAATCCAATCATTACATTCAGAGGTTTGGCGCATCCCCTCGCAGTGGGCAAAGCACCCCAAGTCAAATCTAGACAAATGAATTCTGTTATTGGATTCCTGCAGTTCCATTTCCTGGACACAGATTTAAATATCACTCCCAGAACACGTCAATTCTGAGCGTAACAAAGAGAGAGAAAAACAGCGTGCAGGCAGGGCATTGAACACTTTCAAAGAAAAGAAACCAAGCAAGAATGAGAGCGAAAGCAAGATGACAGGGAAGTTGTTTACAAGATCAACATGTAAGATTGATTGGGTTTATTGTATTACTGCCCTTTTGAAACCTACCGTAAAAGTTACCTGAAAAAACCCTGTTTATCTGGTAAGGACTCAAGCTTGTAGTAATACTCCAACATATAAGGTGAAATCTTAGGAGCTTTGCATGAAATTGATTTCCCATGGTATCATTTCAAGAAGTGTGAATTGTCTGCCTTGTAGAAGTGAAATGGCTTCTTGTTCCCATAGAGCACAGCCAGTCAGCTTTCTTGTGGTATATTTATATAGTAATATAAATAATTCAAATCTAGTATGGATTATACAGAAAAAAAAAAAAATTATAAAAAAAAAAAAATACAGAATAATATTAATAACTACAATATCAAGTGCTGGTGAATTGTGCACAGTAAGAGCAATGTTATTTTATTTATTAACTATTAATTATTATTCATATGAAATAAACATAAATCTGCACAAGTTTGGGATCAGTAACATACAAACGTTTATTGAAAAAATAAATACAGCTTTGGTGAGCATAAAAAACCGTTTAAAAACATGGAAAAATCATACTTACCCCAAATTTTTTAATAATAATCTACTATATATATATATATATATATATATATATATATTATATATATAGTACCGTACAGTACATTTATATTAAGAATAACGAGTGCTTACGAATTGTGCACAATAAGACGAGACATTTACTATGGAAGTAAATATGGTCAGTTTTGAAATATATTCAATTTCCAATTGTCTTTTCAGCTCATCCTCAACGAATCGGATCAGTGAACTAATTTTGACTTTATGAGGTGGATTTAGATGCTGTCTGAATCTCTTACCTGTGGAAGAGCAGAAGCAGCTTTATTTAACTGTGGCTGTGGAAGCTAAAGGGTCAGCTGAGAGGAGCAAAACGCCTGCAGTAAACAGTGTCAGCAATTTATGCCTGAGTGCTGCTGATGCTACAGCTCATTAAAAAACGGCCCTCTAGCATCCTTACCACCTCCAGAGAGAAAGACAGACAGAGAGAGAGAGAGAGAGAGAGAAATGGAGGAGCCTTTTGTGCAAGAGGCAATCAGCTCTGTTGTCTTGTTGTCAAAATACTACTTTAACACAGCGCTTCAGAGGTGTTTAGAAATTGCGTGTCATAAGCCTCCAACAGTATGGTGAAATTGGTCAAAAGCCGAAGGAAACAAGATTACTTTATTGTTATTCTTCGAACATTCCTGTGCCTTACATCAATGTGAGATGAGAGAAGTGAGCAGCTACTTCAGGTACAGAAACAGGTGGCAGATTAATGTAGCTTGCAATGGAATTGTTACAAACCGTTTCTTCTCGGCCCACAAAAATGTGTGTTGTTAAAATGGCTCATAAATGGGTAATAATTACGTTTTTTTTAATGTTTTTGAAAAAAAGTGCCCACCAAGGCTGTATTTATTTGATAAAAACTGTAAAATATAATTACAATTTAAAATAACTGATTTCTATTTAAATATATATTAAAATTACATTTATTTCTATGATGCAATGCTGAATTTTCAGCAGCCATTACTCAAGTCTTCAATGTCACACGATCCTTCAGAAATTATTCTAATATACTGATTGGTGTATATACACAC